TGCATTTGTTAAATATATGTATAGCTAAAGGTTTTTTTCATTGCTAATAAGGATATGAAAATAGATTGTTATATTTCCATATAAATTATAGATTAACTCCCAAGAGATTATTTGTTACAGGCATTTAATTTTTTAGCCAGACATCACTTCTGAACACTAGAATGTCTTTTTAGTTATCTCCATCTGGCTATACTATCAGCCCTTAAACTCTGACCACATATCTCTGCTCAAACAACTTCTCCTCTTATAACTCTTTGATATGGCTAACAATGCCAACACCTGGCTGCCCACATGCCAGACCCCACTCTGCCAAACTACTCTTGCAATCTGTGGGGCCATTCAGGCAGCACAACCAACATACCAGCCAAGATGCCATCTTCCACCCAAATTCCAAGTGCAGTTACCTTGGAGTCATTGCAGACTTGTTGGTATGCACCCATATGTCATTCTAAACAAAATTTTACTAAGTAAACAGGCAGTGCCTGGGTTATGAACATTCAACTTAGGGATAATTCGTACTTGTCCCTTAATGTTGTGTAAAGTTGTTCCCACTTTGAAACAATTGAACCAACCCCTACTCACAACAAATTCTTCATCACAATTATCTTCATTTGCTGCACATGCAGCTTTTAAATAATTGAAAAAACTTTGAGCCTTTTCTTGAAGTTATGAAAGGCTAAAAAAGAATCATATTCTCCTGTTCCAATATACCTACAGATTTGACTTTAAAGCACACTTAAGGAATGGATCCCATTCATGACCTGGGGATTGCCTGAATCTTCCAGTCATGGTTGTGTTTAGGTATCATTGAGTCTGTTCCAACTCATAACAACCCTTATTACTCAGAGTGTAATGTTCCCCAATCTTGTATCATCCTCAAAATCATTTCTATGTTTGAGCCAATGGTTTCAGTTACTGGGTCACTTCATCTTGTTGACGGTCTTCTTCTTTTTGCTGACCCTCTGTATTACCACGCATAATGTCCTTCTCCATAGACTAGTCCCTCCTGATAACACATCCAAAGTACATAGGTTGAAGTCTCACCATCCTCGCTCATAAGGAACAATCTTCTCAATAGTTCCTTCCAACTCATTATGTCTCCTCTTAAATTTCTTCACTGCTCAAGGTAGGCCTTAATAATCTCTTGTTAGAACCATTTCAGTAGACTGTGTCTATAGCATTGCCAGGGTAACCATGCTAACGCTTTAATATAATCATGTAATTGCTCTACTTGAGACTGTTAACTCACACTGCCTACAGGATTTATTTCAAATCTCTCACTATCATGTACAAGGTTCTTCAAGATCTGGTGCTACTTTTCAGATTCACTTTCTACCACATTCTTTCAAACCTCTAATCTTAACCTATAGTGCAGTCAACCAAATGTGCCATTCTTTTGAACATTTCTGACCTCTCCACATGTTGTACTCTTTACCTGTAACACCATCCCAACTCCCTATACACCTACTTGTAAACTCCTCCCCTCCCTATAAGTCTAAATTCAAACAACTTTTCATATAAAAACTTCCCCAATCCTTTAGAGAAGATTAAGTTTTGACATCCTCTATACTTTCTTGGAACTTCCTCCTTGCTGCTATTACATCACTTGTGGTTGTGATTATTTGTTATCAATCCAGAGGGGTTTCATTGACTGATTTTGAAAAATAGATCACCATAGCTTTTGCCCTAGTCCCTCTTAGTCTGGATGCTCTGCTGAAAACTGTTCAGCTTCAAAGAAACAAACAAGGCTCCACTGACAGATGGTGGCTACTCCTGAGGTGCATTGGCCAGGAATTGAACCCAAGTCTACCACATGGAAGTTGAGAATTCCACCACTGAACCACAACTGCACCTTCCCATTTAGCCCTAATTTCCTTGTATTCCCTAGTTGTTGTTGTTATGTGCCTTCGAGTCGGCCCCGACTCATAGCGACCCCTCCTTGGGTTTCCGAGGTAGTATCACTATGGAAGTAGGATTGCCCAACCTTCCTTCCGAGGAGTGGCTGGTGGGTTTGAACTGCCAGCCATCTGGTTAGCAGGCAAGTGTCTTAGCCACTATGCTACCAGAGCTCCCATTTCATTATATTTCTGCATCACCCACTAGATGGCGGTCTCATGAGAGTCCAGAACTACCTTAATTATCTCTAGATCCCCAGCACTAACAGAATGTCTGGCAGGTAGAAGTCACTTAGCAAATAGCTTTTGAAAACAATGACTTACTTTAAAAAGACCAAAATAAGGCTTTTGTGCTTGGTTTGGCAGCACATATACTAAAATTGGAACCATACAGAGATTAGCATGTCCCCTGCGCAAGGATGATATGCAAATTTGTGAAGTGTTCCGTATTTTTTAAGATGAAATTGCTCTGTAAACTTTCATGCAAATCACAATAAAATTAAAGGAAAAATTGTTGCTTTTGCGTACTAAATGAAAGATAACCATCCAAAAATATAAAGCCAAAGGATTGTGCCTGTGGTTTTCTCTGATGTTTCCAACCAAATAGACAAATTGACCAATGGCTGAAGTTTCATTTCATTTAGCATATTGACATGGGATTTCTCTAACTCCCAAAGTGAATTATTCACTTTTATGGTTTAGAGGTATGAAATAGAGTCTTTGGTGTAAAAGAATTAAGTAACAAATAAGAAAGTAGATGCTTATTGCAAACTGACCATTACCTTCTAACATGCAGACAGTGATGGACAATAGAAGTCGAGAGGTGTTAGTAATGATGAGTTTGTTTTATCCTTGAATTCTCTTCCTTTTACATACCACCCCTAATCTGTCAGCAAATACCATTGGCTCTCTATCCCCAAAGCAGAATCTAAACATTTCTCACTACCCTTACAGGTACTCAACTCAAAGCCACCATCACCTCTCTCTTGGATTAGTGTAATACATTCCTAAGTGGTCTTCCTGTTCCCACTCTTGCCCACTTTTAATCAATTGACCACAGATGCCAAGGTGATGCATTCAAAATGTAAATCATATCATGTTCACTTCCTGTCCCAAAACTCTTTGAAGCCTCTCCATTTTTATCTGAGTTAAATCTAAAGTCTACAAAAACCAAGCCATTGGGAACTGTCCCACTGGGTTTCCAAGACCGTAATCTTTACAGACGGAAGGAAGGTTGGGCAATCCTACTTCCATAGTCATAATGCCTCGGAAACCCAAAGAGGGGTCACTATGAGTCGGGGCCGACTCGACGGCACATAACAACAACAACAACAATCTTTACAGAAGGAGACTGCCTCATCTTTCTCCTGAAACCTATGTTCTTTTCTCCCATTCACTCTCTGACATTATCTCCTGCTACTGTCTCCTCCTTTCACTGTACTCCAATCCCAGTGATCCCCTGTTGTCTCTCAGACATGTCAATCATGCTCCTGCCTCTGAGCCTTCGTACTTGCTGTTACCTCTGCCTGGTTCTCTCTTCCCTCAGACATAAGCATCGTTCTTTCAATTATTTGTTCAAATATTGTCTTCTTCTTATAGCTTTCCTCAACCTAATTCTAACATTCAAACACATAACATCCCTAGTCTCATTTGTTCTCTCTTTGGTGTTCTAGTTTCACTCCTAACACTTAGCACTTTCTAATATGATAATGACACTTATTGACTTTTAATTGTCCTTTTCTTTCCAGGAATTGTTTGTCATTTTCACTGCTACTTCCTCACTGCTACTACCTGACACAACGTAAGTTCTCAGTATCTCCTTAGTGCTTAAGGAATTTGAGTGCTAACCAGAAGGTTGGTGGTTCAAAACTACCAGCCACTTCCCAGAAGGAAGACTGGGCAATCTGCTTCCATAGTGATACTGCCTCAGAAAACACAAGGAGAGGTCGCTATGGAAGTAGATTGCCCAATCATAATTATCAGACTGCAAGTGAACTAATTATGGCAGACTCCCTTGGTAACCCTCTGAAAGTACATGATATTGCCGAGTGCCCACTCAGAACCACACAATTGCTAATGGTTTCTCTTCCCTTGAAACTATCAAGGCAAGATCAGCCCGAATTAGAGTCAGAGAAAACTGGACATATATGTAATCAGCTACTTGGATAGTGGGACCATAAACACAAACAAATCACCAATTAACTGAGATCACAAGAGAACTTATATCCATGCTATACTGGTTGTTGAGTGACCAGATGAACATTTCTTTAAAACTTTCTTGCAAATTATAATTATATTCAAGAAATGTTCTTGTCACAGTGCTTATGGCTTTAAAAGACTGTGGGCAGAGAATCATGATTTACATGGTAACTAGAGTGGTGACAATTAAAGAAACATACTAAGAGAGATTATTGCTGACTTCAAAGAGTATTGATTTTTACTTGAACACAGCATCTTTCCACCAAAAGTCTAACTTTTCCTATCCTTACAAATGAAAGAAAAGAGAAGCCCTGTTCTTTTTTTCCTTTCATAGGAGATCAAAGTGAAACCCAGGAATGTAAGAGAACATGCTCAAGATCAAACTTGAGTAAAGCCACTGCTTAAGTTGTGGACCCTCACCATAGGGACCCAATGACAGTTGGATTATTTTCTCCTGTATTCCATAAATAGAATTCCATTATGAAGACAAGTATAAACAGATTTTGAATTGCTGCCATTGTCTCAGTTGCCACATGTGATTCATTTATAGAAAAGCATTAGAACCTGGAACTCAAGAGTGATGACCTAAGCTCTCATCTGTGATAAACAATGACCAAAATTTCTCCCATCATGGATACCATCAAAGGGAAGTACAGTTAAGACAGAAAAACACATAAATGATATATTACTCCTTTCTTAATATGCAATGAGTAGACTATGGGACTTCTCTTAATAATAAATATTTATTAATCAAACATCTAAATGAATGCAAAAGACACAAAAAACAAAATATGAAAATAAAATTTGATTCATGCAGCACTGTCTTATATGGTGAATATAAACTAATTGGTCTATGGACTGGTAAAGGGAAAGGACTGGCAGGAAGGACAAGATGCCAGAAGGTCACTACCCAGTCAGGGTCACATCAGGGTTTGTGGATTGTTGGGCTCCTGTAAACTAGGTCTAGACCATGCCTTTTCTGATTGTGGAATTTTTGTTCACACTTCTAACTGCTGCTTTCACCCACTTGACTTCTGGGTCAGCACAGATTTTCAGGCCACGTTTGGTAATAAAACTGAAAAGTAAAGAAAAGAAAGAGTCAGCCACATGTTCAAAACCTTGGGGCCAGGAGTTGAGTTCAGAATAGACATGGAGTGATCTTGTGCAGTAATTACTGGAAGAAATCATCTTTAAGAACCACAAAACCATAAATAAACAACTTTCTTCTGTCACCTCTTTTAACAAAACAGAGAAATATCTCCAAGCGATGGCCAGCTCCTTTGTTCACACTAATTCATAGGTTCCTTTTCTCATCTGGTTTCCAAATCTTGTAACTAAACTGGACATCTGAGGTCATCCAGTCCAATTACGGAGGGCCTGAGTGGTTGGGGAAGCACTCAGCCGATAACTAGCAAGTTGAAAATTTTAGTCCACTCAACCAGCTCCTTAGAAGAAAGAACCTCATAAAAATTAGTATTGAAAACCCTATGGAGTCCAGTTCTACTCTGCACACATGAGGTCATCATAAGTTGGAATCAAATGAATAGAAACTGGTTAGTCCAATTATTATGTAGCCCCTTCCTTTACAAATCTAACATATTTTTGTGGACAAAAGGTGATTATCTTAATTTTTTAGAGCAAAGCTTGCAATTATTGAGAAGGCCTGGAATTTCTGAAAAATGAGATCCCAGAAAGAGAATGGTACCATGCAGGCTAGTTTTTGACACATTTCCTTGACTAATAAGCATGGCACTCTACCTTACGCCAGCCCTAGGCAGCCCACACTAGTATGGTTATGGTTAGGTAGTCAAGGCCTGACCTGGACCAGCCTTCTCTAAACCTAGTTCTGAGAACTGAACACATGTATTCACTTGGTTTCTATTCAGATTCTTCTGCTAAATTAAACCTGAAAGGAAGACAATATTCTTTAGTGAGTGGCCATATTTTTATGATGTTATTCACTTCATGGCACTGTATGACTACATGGTAAATACTGAAAAATAAAGGAGATGTTGGTTAGAGTGATATTTTCCCTCATGATGATTTCTGTTTCCTGAGGACAACATAACTTTTGTATGCTATCTTCACCAAGCCCAGATTTTGGAGGAACAAACTCACATCACTGCTTTCATGGGGCCCTCCTTAAAGGTGTAGGCCTTGATTCTATGGACTGGCAGTGGCTGGATATGGAAACTCAAACAGATGGTCTTCTCTGGGACTTCAGTCCCCACACCTGGTGGAGAAAACCAAACAAACACAAGTGGAATTATCAATTAACAGTTAAACAATTTCATGGGAACAAAGGGAAACTATTAAATTACTTTAAGAATATTACTCCTCGGAAGGAAGGTTGGGCAATCCTACTTCCATAGTGATACTGCCTCGGAAACCCCCTATGAGTCAGGGCCGACTCGACAGCACATAACAACAACAACAACAAGAATGTTGTAAGAATACAAAGCTTGTTCCAGCAAGATGGCGGACTAGGCACAAGGACTGCACAGACGCTGTTCAACAAAGAAAAGGGAAACCAATGAACACAGACACAGAGATAATCTTGGACCCCTGAGCCTCGAAGGGAAGGATACAAAAGTGGACTAAACCCCAACTAGCAGAAGAATTTGTGTGAAAATACCAAAAAAGGAGACACACAGAGCTGCAGTCTGGCAGCAGACTGAGC